TACGGAACAACTTAAATTAAACATTGTAAATAACATTGTAAATAAGAAATGTAAATAAAGTACTTTGATTTATATTTAAGATCAAAAATTTGAAAAATATACGTACAATAATATCTACATACATAAATCTCATTTAAAATAAAATGTAAATTCATTTGAGTTGTGGTAAAAATGTTAATAAATCAGTTTCGAATCAAATAGAATATAGACGAGTAATAAAAATAATTTTAGATGCAAATAAATTTTGGAAAATTTTTCATCTTTTGTTATAAGAAATATTAAAAATAATCGACTTTTCCTAACTATTATTCGAGTAAGAATTTATTTCAATAATGCCCTACTTACAAATGACTAATAACAGATGTGTTCAATTTAACGTCACTAATCGTCAGCTTATTATCCTAAGCCGATCTTTTCTTTAATTTATACCACGAAAAAAGTATTCGCTACTATCGGGCTTCCTTCATTATTAATTTCAGGCTTCTTTAAACAACCAGCACAAAGAAGATATTTATATATCGTATGTGCCCAGTTTTCTAAATGAAACATTTTTTTACTAACGTCAAATCCATCGAAGATTTGGCGCAAATTTGGCAAAAATCTCAAACAAGCTCTGATCAATAACCATTATATCATCCCTTTATTAAGGTTAAAATGGAATAAAAGAAATTGAATAATACGAAAATAGCCGAGCTATGCTATCAAATAAAATTAAATTAAACGTTCGATTAACAGGTGGAAACAACAAGATGAGTATCGTAAAAATTTCCACTCGAACATATATACGCGTACAATAATTCTCCTTCTCATATTAACCGAAAATCAATGGTTCCTTTTAAACCGATGAAGCAAATGGAATCGATCCTCGTTGAAATTCGAAAGGAGGAAGGTGGAAAATAAACGAGTCTACGATTCCCTTTCTCTCTCTCTCTCTCTCCTTTTCCTTCTTTTTTCACCTTCGACTCGATCCCAACGACGATGACGTCGTAAATTGAATCTCGAGGCACAAGGGGCAAATTAAATCTCGGGGAGGCAAGCTACATCCTATCCGGTTTATCATTAAGAACTCGGCCTCCATCGAACAAGGGGGGCGACTATAAGATGGATGTATGGATGCGTCGTGTCCCACTTCAACGGTATTCATGTATTATTGAAAAGCGTTTAAAAGTCGTCATCTGTCGCGCGGTTGGACGCACAGGTGGCTGCAAATGTTTCGAACACTTCTCTCTCCACGCCTCGAGACGGTTAATATTTTTGTGAATGTTACGAATGTTAGCAAGTTTGAGAAAATTATTGCACGAATTTCGATAAGTCTCGAGCTGTAATAAAGTTAATCCAAGATTAATTATCGCTGACAAGCGTTTTAAGAAGTACGAAATTGACATTCGATTTTGAAGACTTTCGAGCGTCAAGTTTAAAATTTTCGAAACGAAAATAAATGAAAGTTTTGGAAAAAGTTAATTTTTGAGAATGAATAAAATGTTTGGTTAATCGAGAAGAAAAAAAAAACAATTGTATCCCGTATCATTTTGTGCAAGTTTCACGCACATGGAGAAGATAGTTATAATTGAAAATTGCGAGACAACACACATCCTCGTCACACTGTTATCTTGCTCTATTATATACGGGACGCATTTAACATAAAGATTAATGTATTACAGAGAATAATTGAATCTTTTTTTTTTTTTCACTATTAAAAATACCTTGTTGTTCGTTGAACGTTCTATTTATCTATCCAATATAGCAATATATTTTATCTATTATATAAAGATAACCGATTTATCGTTACAAAATTTCGTAACGATTCGGTATAAAATTGAAGAAAAACAGGAAATAATTATGAAACTGGATGGACGAGTATAATAAATTTAATGCGAATATATATCGCGTTGAGAAATAAATTGATACAACGGGACGGAAATGCGGTATCGCGAAACTGTTTACAATGATCAAACGAGTCGAAAGAGATTAATATCAGAAAAAAATTTGAACTTTGAAATTTGATTTGTTGGGAGATGCGTAAAAATAAAAGGGATCGAAAAGTGATATTCATATACAAGACGAAAAGAACGTTGAAAACTATTTTATTCGCGATCGTGGAACAAATGCATCAAAAAGTCAAAAGGGATTAATTTTCCAGATAAAAAAATTTAAACTGTATTGCTGTATTTGAGTGGTTTATACCATTGTGGAAACAATCAAATATCAATTACATCGTGTTGGATCAATTATGACGTGAAAAAGGTCGGGAATTTATTGAAAATTGTTAAAAAAGAAAAAAAGGAAAAAAAAAAAAAGTAACGATACGATACTTTGCATTTTAATACGTAAAACGATCATTCATTTCGTTATCTTCTTTCCAATTTAAAGCTAAATTTCTTCCCATCCAAAGAGGCGTATTCTTAATCAATCAACAATAATAATAACGATGTTTATTTATTTGAGGGTAAATTCTTTATAAAAAGAAAGAATAAATATTGATTTATAATAAAATTGTTATTATTTAAAAATGCTTTTAACAAATAATGAAATAATATTATTGAACATCATCGATCGTATGAAATTCTCGTTCCTTCAAAATAATAAAACGTTTCATTTAAAAAATCTAAAAAGAGGAGAACATACGTACGCGAAAGTTGGCGTACACAAATTTCAATTAAAACTTATTTATTAAATTTGCATCGAGACCCGGATGGAGTAAAACGGGAGTGTGACGAAGACGGATAGCCATCTCATCCTTCTCTTCTATTCTTATAACTTAATAAATAAACCTCGAACGACATTTTCTCTTTCTTTTTATTTATACCAGCTTTTGTATTTATTTTGCTCTCTCGCAAGGATCGATTTTCCAAAGGTGGGTGTTCTCTCGACGAGTAATATTAACACGGTTGATATATTCGTTGCAACGCCGCGATCGGGTCAAAGTTAAAAAACTTTTCCACCGAAAATAACATCCCATTCATATTTATCGATTAATCCATCCTTCCAATTATACCGAAACCGCCGTAACTGACTGAGAACGCTCGATCGATCTCCACCGATTCCAGACTCTTCGTTGTCGTCCTATTCTTGTCTATCACGTGTGCGCGAGCGTGCACAAACGAGAAGCAAGAGGGAGTAATGGTCGCTCGAAGCAGGACGACATTATTCAATCCGAAAACGACCGATTTTCGAGTAAAAAATTGCTCGCGCGATTTCATAACGCGCAAACACGCGCTCAACGAGATAGAAATTTTACACATATCTATGAAAAAGAGATAGATTTTTATTGAAATATTTTCGATAGCGATACGAGAATTTCTCATAAAGCGCAAACTAAAAAATTCTATTTTCGCCCATCTCCACGCAACGAATGGCGAGTGCATTGAAATTTTTCGCCCAATGTAAATGTATTATTATTATGTAATATTTATAAATAATTTTACGGAATTGAAACAATTGAACAATTTTTAATTATATAATTTGAAATATATCTATACTGCTACGTTGAGCAATTATAAATACTCTAATTATTAATCAATTAATAAGTCTCTATTTTAATTTTATACTAAACGTTTACGCTAAATGTCTTTATTTACTTAAAAAGAGTAAGGATCTGCATCCTTTCTTTTGCCGCAAGATCCTCAATTTTTATTAATAATTTTACATTACCATAAAACCTAACCTAACGTAAAATTTATAGTGAAATTCTACAGTATCATAAATATTTTTATGTTGCTAATATATGTAATATATGTATATTGAAAGTACATAAAAACGATTATTGGTTATTGCCATAAAATTTTTCAACGTGTCGTTGAACCACAAAAATTGAGAGAACATTATGTTAATTGAAAAGCTCGCCCATCGACAAGACTCAAACAAAAGCGTCGTGGAGACGTAAAGTCATTCATTGTCCAGGGGAAGATTAACAATGTGTTCCTCGTGTAAAATCTGCGATTCGTACGCGACATTTATCACTCGTATGTCGACACTCCTCTATAGCCGTTCAACAATACCCACCTCGAATCATCCCCATCCCACTTCGTCTATTCCCATCTCGGTCGACGATCTTCTCTGACAGTTTTCACGTAGTATAAATTCACGTTTTTTTCCCCTTTATTTTAAAAATAATAATCCATCTTGAAACACGTTTGATATTAAAAAGAAAATAACACGAAAAGAAAAGGTGAAAGAGTGACAGTGGTTCGACGACGCGAAATTTCAAACATTTATATAGTTTTGGAGAGCAGAAAATACTTTGTAGAAAAAAAGAAAAAATATTGCATTATGATTTAAGATGGAATATGTTTTATTTGTATATGAATTATTCGTTTTTTAACTTTTTGAGGCATTAGAAGATTAGGGTCGGTTTAAGGAAAGGTCATTTCGTCATCCATATAAGAGAGAAAATAGTAAAAATATATATTTTTTTTTTATTCGAAGCATGTTTATTTGTATAATAGAATAATATAAGACATTTAAATATCTGTCGATGAAAAAATATTGTATTGATGTATTTATTTTGATCTAATATTTTTATAATTATTATTAAAACAATAATAATTTTGGGGGGGGGGAGGAATTTTTTTGAGATGAAATAATATCATTTTTACATTTTCTAAACGTAATCTAAATGTACGTAGTTCCAAGATTAACGAGGAATCGATTTTTTATTCGAGATGCGCTTCCCATTTAAGTGTTTATAAATTGTGAAAGCAACAAAAAAATATAATATAAAAAATAATTCGAATTTACAGACCTATAAATCTGTATAAAAATATTTTTAAAAAATATTTTCACGGAATAAATTTATTTTCAAAAATATTTTATACAGATTTATAGATCCTTGAAAATAGTAAAACTTGTATTTATTCTATACATTTCTTTTTTTCTTCTTTGTATACTTTTACATACATATTTCGTATATTTCGTTATTTTTACGATTTAAAAAATGCATTTAAATATGAAAAATGCATCTTGGTTAGAAAAAGAGCAATTGTTTTTCTTCTAAAATAAAAAAAAAGAAAAAAATCAGAAACTCAACAAGATATTTATAAATTGACCCAAGAACAAAATTATGAAAAGTTTCATTGAAATCAGTTTGTATCAGTCACCAATGTTCCTTCATCGGTAAAAAAAGGGGGGAGAGAGTTGGAACGATGGGAAAGGGAGGCGGCGGCGGCAGGGTTCCGGGGCCGTTTCGATTTCGATTTCCTGCATTTCCTCGCACATTTCTCGAGCGGAAGTCAATTTCTTTCGGGTCGACACATCGAACAAAGCATTCCAGATATTCGCCGCGAGAAGGGAGAAGAAGAGGACGTAAGCCGGGTCCGTCTCTTCTCCGGTCCACACAGATAATTGAGTGGTGCGTGAAAGCTTTTTATTGTCCAAGGTGCAAAAGACTCTTCATTCCATTTCATTCCATTTCATTGCATCGCATTCCACAAGCTTCGAATCGAAAGCGGCGGGGAGAACGATGGGGAGCCAATATGCCCGCCTACGTTTTTTATTTATTCACATATTTTTATATATATATATTTTTTTTTGCTTGTTTGTGACAACTCTCGTCGTCGAGAACGCCACACACTCGTTGATCCGATCGAGCAATCAGGAAACGCCGACTTAGGACGACACATGCAGCAGCCTAGCCACGCAGAGGCTTTCGTCTTATATAGGTGTTACGTTTTTTTTTTTTTGGTTCGCTTATTTTTTTTTTTTCATCGCATTTCATTCGTAATTTTATTATTTCAGGGAGACACAACCAGTACAAGCGGTCCAACATCGAACATCGCAAGCTTGTGTGTGTTTTATTAAATGCCTCGTGCTGACAGATATATGTCGGGAGAGATGTCGGGGAGGTCTGTGTCCGGCGCCCAAGGTCACGGTGTGGAACATACAAAGCCTCTGTGAACATTGTGCACATTCGCTGTCAGTGGAAGCTGCGTGATATAAGGCTGGAACGCCGTGTTCCGTATAAGGAATCGAGGAATATAGAAGGAGAGAGAGAGAGAGAGAACGCTGGGATCATGCTTCGTCCAAAGTTCCTCGTGTTTCAAACCCCGTTCTCTCGACCCACCCTCGCGAGATCGACGAATTCATTATATTTATATAATTTGTAGTATTTATTATAGTAAAATTACTGCTACATTATTATATTATCATAATTTATATAAATTTCGAATCGCTGTTAAACGAGATATAAAAAGGTTTTTCTCAAACGGTCACCCATCCCAGTATCGATCGCGACCAATGTAATTGCACTTAAATGATTGAATAGGAAACGGTGAATCCTCGTCGCAAAGATGATTGATAAATATTACTTTTTTATTATTACTTATTACTGCTCACATTAAAAGTGATGAGATTTAGAGCGTTTTGTCTTGAAATCTTGAAAAAATCATGAAAGCTCTAAATAGATTCAAAATTTCGAACAATTTTTCATAACTTTAATTCAACTTTGAACTGGAATCAAACAACATCAGAGAAATCGTAAAGCAATTCTTAAATTTGTGTAAAACTGTCAAAGTTTTCAAAACGTCAAGATTTTCAAGAATCTTTAGATTTCGAAATCGGATTCGTAATAATTCGAATTTTCTATTATTTTAAGAATTCAAAGCATTCCAAATCTCGTCGCCAATATACGGTGTTCCTAAGCGATACATATACATAATCACGTAGTTTCGTAGATTTTGACAATGAAAATGGAAACTAGTAAATTCTTGTCGAGAAAATTTTTAATTTTAGGTGTCGCGTCTTTCGATAAATTTTAACTGACTAGAAAAAAAAAAAAAAAGTAAGACTATATTGAAGGGTCTGGTTGTTGTCAGCCGTTCGGTACGAATCGATAACGAATTTATAGCGCGGAGTGAGGCGGAAGTATAGCGGAAATATGTCGGGTAAATTCATGAGTCAGTGAAACGGCGAGTATGTCAACGTGTTTCCCTAAGGTATTTCTTCGAAGCGAAAAAATTATATCTGATACATATATCCGGTGGAGCTCGATTAAATTTAATTGAATTCAGGAATTGATAAAGGATTAAATTTTCACTAAAAGGATAGCGCTTTTTCCCCAAGAATTGACTCAACCACTCAACTCGACAAAATGAAAGAGATTGAATGTAATCAGATTTAAGCAAATTTCATTCGAAATTGAAATAAAAAAGTAGAAAATAGTTTGGAATAATTTATTTTGGAATTTTATTTTTTAATAATATCATTATTTGAAAAAAAAAAAGAAATAGATTTTTCATTTGAGATAATAATCTCAATTTTTCTTCTTTCTTTAAATTCGACAAAAGAATTGTTTCATAAATAATAGATGAAAATAAATAGATGAAAATGGTATTATTTAAAACAATATTTCAAATATAAAAATTTTAATTCTTATCTACATGAAAACTGTATGGATTATTGAGAGATTCTCATTGATTCGAGTCCAAACACATCATGAATTAAATTAATTTCACTAGTAATCAATATACGTTGTGTTTTCGATACTATTTTCATAAACAATAAAACATTTTTTTCTTCTTCTTTTAAAGTTTGTCTATCTCATCCAATCTTTCTGTTCCTTCTGCCTGTTAAAATCACCATTGATCGTACGAGTTTTAATCGAATTTTTGTGAAATTTAACCGAGCACCATCGTAATTAATTATTTCCGTTTCTCGAGGGCGAAAATCGTCCGATCGAAAGTGAATTGACGATGACCTCTACCCCCGTCTTCGCGAGCAGAACCGTTTAAATTATTCAAGATGAACCGATTATAGAATGCCAAACACGTTTGGAGACGACGGTCAACGACCGAACGAAACACGAGGAATCCAAGGATGGTTGCAGCACAGGGTAATGAGGCAGAACATGAAAATAAGGTATAGGCGGGTTGAAGATATATGGAACGAGTTACGCAAATTGGACGGTTTGAAAGCATTTCTTTTGTTGAAACTAGAGAAATTCAAGTAGAGAAAAGATTTACGGAAAGTTTAACGAGCTCAACGAAATGATTTAACTTTGAAAGGCCATAAATTCATATAGATTCTAACATAACCTCAAAAAGAATCTTTCGGCAAGATTAGATTAAGTCAGATGGGTTTACACATTAGACTATTCCATCTGTAAAATGACAATTTCGATTTTAACTGTAATAATAATAATTTAAATTTTGTTAAAATTTTGTTACTACGTAAAACTTGAAACTTAAAGTCGAATACAATTTGAATACTTTTTTGTTCCAATTTTTTGATTATAATAAAATAAATTGTATTTTAATGAAATATTACTGCATCGTTAAATTAAGTGAGATTTAAAATACAACATATCGCGTCAAGAAACTCTTGTTAACAGAGCTGTATAATTAATAGAGCGCACTTTCGACAAGGTTATATTGAGAGAACAAGCAATCTGTCATTCGAGTGAAAAATTTTAATTGGCGGATGCGAAAATAAAAAAGTATGTATGTAAAAATTAATAACCAATTAAAGAATTTCAATTGTAACAATGTATTTGTAATGTTAATGTATTTGTTGAATATCAATATTATTTTCAATATCAATTTAAATTAAGAGCCTTATTAAGAACTCGATCATTTATCAGCAATAACTTAATAATTTACATCAATTAATTGATATTCTCTCAAAAAAGGAATAAAGAAAAAAGAAATAAGACAGAAAGAGAGCGAAATATAATATAGTAATACAAATATAAATAAATATAAATAAAAATAGATATATATATATATCTCAGTCACATAATCTATTGGATTATAAATCGTTAAACCTTCCATTTTATTCATCATTGTTACCGTAAAATGCCGATATATTTCAAAGTAAAATTCTTTTGAGTACAAGTGGATACTACTACTATCGAGAGTGACTATCCGACAATAATTTCACTTTAGAGGAGACCTTTAGGCATAGGTCAATGGCGACGCTAAAAATGCCATTAGGGTGCATTTAGGGTATGCATTTGAGAACAAAACTTTTAAGAGTATTTCTGGCAAGTGTACAATGCCAGAACTTTCAATCTCAACACAATGTCCATTAGCGAAGAAAAAAAAAAAAAAGAATAACTCCCAAGTGTTTCACTCTTAAATTTACACTTTAATGACAGTTCACATTTCATAATAAAATTTTTGAAAGTTACTTACTCACGATATTATTTTTCGCAAGAGACTACATTGTGACTATACGAGAAAAAAATTTCATTTTTCAACAGTGGCAAGAAATATTTTAAGAACAACAGTTTCAAGCGTATTCCCCCTTAGGGATAGTTAGTTCGCACCCTATATTAAAATATCTCGAGGATATTTCTCGCAAAATGGACACTATGGAATAGCCGTCGAGCAAAATTGTTGTTGCAAAAGCAATTCTTATAAAAAAATACTATTTCGCAAAAATCAGAATAGAATGCTCAACGGTTATTTTTACTAGATTTATATTGCTTGTCGAGAGTGAAAGTTGGACAATGTACAGAGCACTCTCGCGCCAAAGAAAGAAACTACTGACAAAAATTCCGTCCAAATCGGTATCCTCGTTCCATACAATGATAAGATAAGGTATACGAAACGGTATATAAACGGCAAGGTGAACACGTATCTCCGCTCGAACGGAGTCCATATATAGAATTAAAATCAAGATGGGCGAAAAAGAAACTCACCGTCTCGTCTTAACTCGACGATAACGGCGATAATCGGTGGCGTTTACGTCGTTGGGGTCGAAGCCCCTTCGATGCTTGGGCGGCGAGGACATAGTAGCAGCAGCTTTGGTATCGTTCGAGATCGCGTCCGGTTTGGCAGTAGTGTTGTTGTTGTTGTTGTTGTTGTTGTTGCCGATCGAGCTGCAATTGTTCACGTTGTCGATGTGCAACGAGGCGAGTGGCGGCGGCGAAGGCGGCAGTTGGGCGGGGACCAGGTGGCCAGATGCTGAGATCACAGAAGCCGGGTGACACCGACAGGCCGGTGCTGGTGCTGTTGGCTCGCCGATTACGAGGGTCCTATCCCCGTGACCGACGTCGCTCTTTGGCACCGCGTTCAGCTCGTGCCTGTTAACCCTACCGGCTCCCGGCCCACCCATTCAAATCCTCGATTATCGCCCGTTCACTCCACCTCTCTCGCTCTGCCTCCGTGGCTGCTCCTCTCGCGAGCTCCTCTCGCGCTTATGGCCACTCTTTGCCTCGTTTCCCTTCTCCGCTCTTCTCGCTGCCTCCTTTCGAAATTACGATTCGACACCTCGACAATTGTCTCGTCCTTGGTCCCTCTCCCGGTCTCCTCGGTCGAATGTTTTGTAATTCGATCTCTTCTTCCCTCCTCTTTCCCTCGCCCCACCTCGAAATGTTACAATGCGCTCGCCAATCGACACTCGAATAATTCCCTTCCCTTTGGTCCGTTCCTCGTTCTCCTCGGTGAAATGTTTTGAAATTTGATCCCCTTCTTCCAACGATGAGCTCCAGATCGAATCGCCTTCAGTTGTCCTGCGGACGCGGCACATACGATAAGGACGGACGGGCCGTAACCCGATACTTTTTTTGCCTCCTCTCGAATTCATACACGCACGCTGAACCTATCGACACACCTTCTCCACTGGCAGACGACTCACGCACGTGCAACCCCATTCGCCCCAACTTTCGCGACGAATCTATTTTCGAGGGACGACGTATCCAAACGTGCCAGCACACCTTCGTTTTCTTTCTTTTTTTTTTTTTTGAACCACGGGACGGGAATGGAACGGATGAGAATGTTGTTTCGCGACAACAGGGTGAAGGATCGAAGCTAGAGAAAGAGAGAGGCGGGAAGGAAGCTGTGACAACGTGTATAAGAGCGTCCACGCCAACGTCCAAACACGATCTTCCTTCCGTTCCGCGATCACGCCGACTCACTCCGCGTATCACACAACCAAGAAACTCTCGCCCTGTGCCTGATTTCGATGGATACCACCTGGCGGCAGCACCGGTAGACGCGACGCGGAACGACCAGTCGCGAGAAATTGGGCGAATCACGGGGAAGAAAGGTCGCAACGAAGCAAGGCCACCGTATGTTCTCTCTCTACAAGGTGATCGAATAAAAAAAATTGAAAATTTAAGAAGAGATTAAAATTGAAACATAAAAATTGTTATACATGCCTATTAAAAATTATTTATCAACCGTTATATATCCAATCTTATTCTTTTAATTTAAATAAAGTAAAATGATAGCAAAATATCCTATTTCTATTTTGCAAAATTATATAACTAAATAGATAAATATTTTTAAATATATTGCATATCAACTTTTATTTTTGTTTTAATTTAATTTTAAAATTGTCTTTTAAATTTTTATGCAATACCTGAACCTTGTATATAATTAAGTTACGATAAATTGAGCCAGAAAGGCGTTTCCAATTGCGCTTATCGGCTGATTTCTATCGAGCTTCAACGTGTCATGGTTCGAGAAACGCGAATGGAATTCTAATAAGGCTATGTTCGCGCCCAAAGCGTATGAATTCGTGCCAACTTTCTCTCGATTAGTCCCGCTTTCAACGTCCTTCCTGCCTAATTTCGAGGATCGAAGGTTCGAAAAGTGGAACAATCGAAGCCGAACCTTGAAACCTTTTAAATCGAGAACACGAGAGGGGGAACAATCGAAAAAAAAAATAAATAAATAAAAAAAAATAAATAGAAATAAAAAAGAATTAAAACGGTTAAAATATTTGATCGTTAAATATCTAGAGTTATAAATTGTATTTAAAAAGAAAAAAAATCACTAAATTTTACAAAAAATTCTAAAAAATCTTTTCATCTTTTTGAAAGCGAACAGGTGAGAGACTACTCGATCCATTTACACCTAGTCTCACGCAGTCGTACGGCCGAACAATTAACCACCTTCCACGCCCTCCTCCTTCATCAGACCAAAATAGACATAGTTCTGGGAGTGGCCGCGTGGCGGCGACACGGAAAACAACGCACGAGACAGTTGTACCGGAAAACAAGGCGCAACAGACTGCGTGTCGAGGAATTCCTCTCGAGCCTTGAACACCCTCCATCCACACAGGAGAAAGAGGGCTCGAATCAGATCAAGCGAGGCAACGAGGAGGATCAAGTTTGGCATCGTCCAACGTTCAAACGAGATCAATCAATGATTACACCACGTGCTTGACCTACCGTGTTGATCGAACTGGTGGCCACCGTCCAGCATTATTCGTATTAATTCACCGTTGACCATTACAAACGTTATCCTTCGCGTGCACAACTACCTCGAACATTGCTTTCATGAAGATCGTTCACCCTCTCTGTACGAATTAATATCATCAGTCAATCTATCGTTGTTTCAACTCGTGCTTATTTCCACCAAAATACACAAAATATCGTCGCGTTCTTGTTTCGACAGAATATTCGCGTATCGCATCGCGAAATTTCGTTGCACTTGATCAATTTTCCACTTTAATTTTCTTTTTTGTTTTCCTTTTTCGAAGTTAACGTGAAAGCTCAAGAGAAGCCGAGTTTCGTCGCGAAGGGAACACACGTCTCGATCGTGGATCGCACTCTCTCGTGTCAATCATACGCACCTCCCTCCCGCCTAAACTCATTTTTCTGACGGGTGAACCAATTCGCCGAAAGATGGCGATGGTGTAGCGCGCCACGAGCGCCCACCCGGTCAATACCAGAATAACGAAGAAAGGGTCCAGCTTCAGCGGCACGCTAACCTCGATTCGGAGCGCGCGCCACTACTGCAACTCTTTATTACCGCGTTCTTGCTCTCGATCGAGAGTACTCGGTGATCGATACTGCCTGTGGCCTTGAACGCAGCAAACTTTTCGACTCGTTTAACAAGGTGTAGGGGAATATAATTAGGTATGTGAGTCAAAAAAATATCGTTTTGTTTTTGTAAAAGGCAAAGAGAAACGAGGCACGTGCAATCGTTGTACGTTGCACGATTGAATTGAAACATTTGAATTAATCTCACAACGATATGAGAATGGATATAAAGGAAAAAATGTATGTAGCCTTTTCAAGATAAGAATGTTTTTTTCTTAGTAGTCAATTTCTTGTACCGCTTGAATTTAAATAATTTATTGCGATAAATATTGAATTATATTCTACAGTCTTTACACAGTATTTCAATGTTTCAACCATTTTTTTTTTCATCGTACAATTGAAGTATTATAAATATTTAATGTTTAGTATATTGTCTCATGGGCAAACCCGGTTTACATTATATGTCGCAGTATAAATATTAAGCAAATAAATTGAAATAAGACGAATACTTTTTGGTAACAATAAACCAAGTAAATATAAGAGATAGATTTTATAAATAATTGAAATAAATTTTCTATTTTAAGATTTTTTGAGAACCAATTAAGATGTTTAATTAATTAACCATTCTTTTTCTCATCAAAAATCAAAATTTGCTACCAAAAATAATTACATTAAGATAGGATTTTTTATGATATTCTGCGAACAAAACAATTTTGATTTTATAATTTCAATTAAAATTTCCACCAATGTCTGAACGTCTTTTTCTGCCAATTTCGCTCCGAGCAAGATTAGGATAGGTCAGGCTTCGCCACGTAATTACAGATAATCGAAACTAATCCTTGACATCGCGTCAATCTTTCGAAATTGATGATGGTTGAACAATAATATACGTACAATTTAAACGATCCATTTATAATTGTATTCCGGTAATCCAATAATGCAATTATAAAATGAACTATGCCGATGCTGATTATATTTTCGAATATGGAACAAAAGGGGAAGTCTCTCTTTTGTACACCTCCACGTTTAAATCTCACATCGTACGGGTCAATGGTTGCTAATGACAGGCATGATCCGATCACCAATTAATTTCAACCGCGTTATTCGCGCGTGCATTCAAACGGGAGCCTTTCGTTTTTAAGCGTTTTTGACGAGAATAGAAAAAAAAAAAAAATAAGGAAAAATTAAACGAGGCGTTAACGTTGTTTAATTGCACGACGAAAAAAATAGAGAGAAACACGAATCGATGCCTAATCGCGATAACTCGATCCCCGAGGTCGTGGCAAGAAAAATAGTTTTATAGGTTAGGTTTCTACGAATGCTGCTGCAACCCACTTCGAAACAGATTCCCTAGAAAGCAGAACTAAAGCAATCTCCGTTTATATAATTTTAAATTGAATTTTGAAACTCGTGACAGTTAGCGCATCTTTGACAATGAAATAGTATCGATCGATATTTATTGCGATCAGTTAATGCTACCAGGAAAATTCATATAAAGAAAATCGAACTTCGAAAGAATTTCGTAGAAAAATCTAGTGGAAATTGGAAGTTGTATATGTTTAACAAAGAAGATATTAAACGTTGGAACAGTTTTTGTCATTCATTCTTCACAAATAAACACTGATCGAACAAAAATAGATTCTATGTTACTTAGCAATCGTGCAACTGAACCATTTCGTTTACCGTTAAATCGACGACCCGAATCTTCTTATAGGAGACTATCGCTTATCTCAGTGATTCTCGATCTCTTCAAAATTAGAAAATACTTTTACAAGAAAAATTACGATACACCATAAGCTGAAAATAAATTCACGTAGTTCGTCATACGTAAATATTTCTATATGATTCGTTATCCAATCTCAAAATATTACTGTTTTGAAAAAAATTAATTGAGAACCACTGATTGATTGAATGATTAACAAAATAAATAAAAGGTAAAATAAAAAAACGAAACTTCCTCATCAATTTCATAACATAAAACAAGATTTATATCAATTCTCCACTATCAATTCTCTCACGAACGCAGATTGAGAATCACTGAGCTACACAATCCTTATTCAAATCAAAAATCGACGTAACTTCCCTTGACCCAGAAGAAGAATAACTCGTAATGCCAAAACGCAAAAGTATTCCAATTAGATTGAGAACCACTGGCCCGCCCATCAACACAATTATCCGAAACGGAAAATATAATTTTCCGCCTAATCCCGACATAATCTAACAACGCAACAACGATACTTGTTACAAGTTTCGAGAACAACAAACAGTGGTTGAGAGCCACTGGTCTACCCACCCAAACGTCCCGTCGGAAAAATCGGCCGGATCGAGATTCGTCTGGCTATCGTCCACGGGATTTTCAATTGGACGCGTTTCCAAGGTGTATCTGTGGATGATCAGGTGTTGCCGCCGCGTCTGTCGAGAGGAGGCTGTCGTCCGTGATTCGGCCAAATGAGTGACGCGAATGGTAGCACGGCGTCGGTATGACTGACTCTCTCTCCTGACCTGGCGTTGTTGCGAGCAGCAGGCGTATCCGTGGTTGGTCAGCCGGTTTGCCAGCGATGGACTTGATCCGATTCCCGACTTTTCCCTTGTTACGATCGATTCGACCGCGGGGCTACACCTCTCTTTCGCGTTCGTGGAGGAATGAAGCACGGTTGAATTATATTCGTCTGACATATTCACGTGATATACAACATGCATCTTGTTTCTTCTTTCTTGTGTGAGTGAATTTTATCAATGATGATGATAACTTTTGGGGACGAAGAAGATTTTTGGAGAAAAGATATGATTAAATGTGATAATATTAAGCGTTTTATGAGAGAAGTTCTAGAATCTGTGAATCGTTACATAAAATGTTAAAATTATGATTCTAAGGATCAAACAAATTTGAAAATTAGTACACGAAAATGTCGATCGAAGCTTATTCATTGAGTTATAAGCAATTCATGTTTGGAAGTGAGATGGAGATAAAAATAATTCTTGAAATAACTTCTTCCATCTTTCTTTATCTAAATTTCAACTTGCTTATAGTTTAATAGATAAATCTAAATCGATATTTTCCGTATACTGATTTTTGCTTTCTTTTTAAATGAAAGGACACGAATTAATTAACTCTGGCATAATTAAATTACTATATTTTTAATAGATATAAATATAAATTATTATATATTGTATAAATAATTAAAACACTGTAATTTTTCCATTTTCTTTTTTTTTTTTATAGAAAGTATTAAAAATGAATAATCAAGGATTAAAGAGAAATAAAAATTTAATCATTTAAATGTAATAATAATTTATTATTGAAAATTTGTAATATCTGATAAATATGCTTTCATTAATATTTAAAAAAATTTGTTAACAACTTGTCCAGAACAAAATTGGTCGAC